AAGGACATACCAGTGCTGCTGATCTCAAAGTCTTAACAAGGTAACCCTGAATGCCAGGATCACCAGTGACAAGAGCAACTTTCCTGCTCCTTATAACCACACTTTATATTCCTTTTTTTTTTTAAGATTTTATTTATTTATTTGACAGAGAGAGGGAACACAGGCAGGGGGAGTGGGAGAGGGAGAAGGAGGCTTCCCGCCGAGCAGGGAGCCCGATGCGGGGCTCGATCCCAGGACCCTGGGACCATGACCTGAGCCGAAGGCAGACGCTTAACAACTGAGCCACCCAGGTGCCCCCGACACTTTATATTCTTATCACCTGGGGATCTAATACTAGCTCAGACTTTTTGAAAGCTCACTATGTTCCAGAACCTATTCCAGGCTTTATTGCTCCTCAGCATTCCTATGAAGGAAGTACCACTGTTCTCTCTGTTTTACAGACAGAGGAAAATGAGGTCCAGAGAACTTAGAAAATTGTCCATGGTCTCTTAGCTCTTTAGTAGAGCTAAGCATTGGATGCAGGCAATCTTTGCAGAGATCATACTCTCACCCTTTATGTTCTATCACTCATGAATGGAAGGAAATTTGATCAATAAGAATCTCTGAATTCCCTGATTCTAATACAATCACTCCTCAAACTGAAAAGAGACCTTGATTTCCATACCCTGAAGCTCATTCCCTGCCTTCTTAAGGTACAGAAAAAAAAAAACAAAAAAACTTTCACATCCGGGCTTTGAGAAAGCTCTCAGTGGTTTTCAGGCCTCACCTCAGAGTTGGCTCACAAAGCCCACTACACCTTCAGAGTGGGTAATGGAAGGAACAAACCGAGCATGTGTTACGTGAGAGGGCCCACCCTCAGACCTAAATAGATCTTTGTTACATCAACCACACCCCTGGGGTTAAAAAGAAACCCACACTATCACACCAGTGTTTCCAGTTAGACCTAGAAGGTAAGAGATATACGTTGAGTTTAAAAAAAAAAAAAAAAAGTTTCAAAAAATGCCTTTGGTCTATGATGAAAGACAAAAGCCTGGGGCAACCCTCAGTCAAATCTTTGCATGCCCACCCTGTTTTTGTCCCCATTCTCCCCAGCCACCCACATTCTTCCCACCTACCTGAGGAACTCTCATGCAGCCCTGGTTTTAACACTCTCCAATTCTGCTCCTCACTAAGGTTTACTGGCTCTCAAAGTACCCAAGACTCTCTCTCTTAATTTAAACTCCCCTCTCGATCCACTCTGTTCTCTCATCAACTTGAAATTAGAAAAGGAGACTCTCCCATGAAGTGACACTTCTCTTTCACTAGATATGAGGGAATCACTAGAAGAGCATCCTGTCCAGAGAGGAAGACCAGATATCCTCCACATCCCTTCCGATTAAAATTATTATTAAACTGACCTATACTAAATAGTGAATGACCAATAACTTGCTCTCAAAAATCTGCACACCACTCCAGAGGTGTTTGTTTGCCACGTTCCTGGTGGGATTTAAGACAGTGGTATATACCCACTGTGATTCTAGAGACTACTCAGCCTCCTGGCCCTTGGCATATAGCTGGTCCTGGGAGAGGAAAACCAAGAAGACTTTGTGGATATTTAAATCACCTACTTGTGGGTGAGGAAATAAAAGGAGGAACATGAAATGAATAGGAAGCCTCTCCAAGACCACTCAAAAAAACCCTACATGCATAACTGAAGGGAGCCTGGAAAGTGGATCCTATTTGTGGTCACAAACCTCCTTTCCTGCAGGTGGACACAGTCAAAAAAAAAAGTCAGCCAATATTCATCTCTTCATCAGCTTCCTCACTGTAATAGGAAAATTTAGGTTGCTCCAGCTCCAAAAGAAAATAATAATAATAATAATAATAATAATAATAATAATAATAATATCTCCTTAGGCCATCCCTTCTAACTCTGATCAATTTATCTTAAAAGAAAAAAAAAATCTCTATGCTTTCCTTGGGTCAACAATGGACACTACTGATCACTGAAAAACAAAATATAAATTTTAATAATATACTTGTACGAGGGAAAGCCACACTATGACGTGAGACCAAACAATCATGCTATTACCTCTAACCCCTGACCTGTCTCCAGAAATGCTAGGGTCTCCACAACTGTCTCTATCTCCTCACCTACAATAGCTTTTATTCAAGCAACTGGGTAAACGGTAAGTGAACAGTATCTTATTTGATTTCATAGTGTTTTCTGTTTAATCCAAAAAATGGATATATAATAGCATTCCTTCATTATCCCCCTTGCAAATACAAGCTGTTTTAAAACTGTAGAATTGATTTAAAAGGTTTTGTGTGAGCTGACCTGGCACCTAAACACTTACACGTAGCACTATCTTTTCTGTCAGACGTGCTTCAACAGATGACCAACTTTCAGAATCAAGCCGTTCGTATTTAGAATACAATCCCTGCCTGTACTTTAGGAAGGAAGCTTTGTGCTCAGAATATCAAATGAGCACAAGCTAGGAGCCAGGGGAGACAGAGCTGCAAGGGCAGGAATGCCAGCAAAATGTGCCTGAACTTGAACTCGACAGATGGCTTTCTAATACGTCAGTATCTTGGACTTTCGACACCAACTTATTCTTAAAGGAGGACAGTTTATCAGTTAGAATCATCTTAGAAAACTGGAAAAAAAATAAAAACACAAGCCAATACGTTAAGCATTGCTCTGCAAGAAAATGGAGCATGCCTAGTCACATTTAAGGACATAGCTTCTACAAAACGTAGCCAAATAATCGGTATCAAGGGGCAGATTTTTCTTGACCATTGAGAAGTCCCCCAGAACGGCTCTGATTGGCAGATATTTTCTGAGAGAGGACAGCTGAGGCCTCTGGTCATGTTATGTCAATGGCTCAAATGAGTCGTCTCCTCTCCCCCCTCACCTCCCTTCTCTCTTTTTTGCTAATCCCTATGGCTACATCCCAACCTTCTACCCAAAATATGCTCAAGGCAGTGGCTTTAAGGGACAGGAATCACCACAAAAGAATGCACACGCTTGGATGAATGTCTTATGCAAACTCATTGATTGAATATGCCCATGGTGATTTTTCTCAAAAGAACTTGTCAGATTAAAATTATAAATGACTTGAAACTGCTGGTATCCATTTCATTTGGCTATTAGGGTGGTCAAGATGTGGCAGGTCTGGGCAAAATGACCCAGAAATCAGTAGATCCTTGTTTTGCCTTGATTTTACCAACTAAAATTCACCCCTAACGTGATTGATTACAGTATCAACTGTTTATTCTGTGAGATTAAAGAAAAATCAAACAAATAAATGAAACAGTATAACCTAAGTACAAAGTTAACTTACGAACTCTGAAGTAGAACATGCTTGCTGTGGTTAACAGACATAAGCCATGTACAAATTTAGCAACAACTCATCATATTAGATATTGTGACCTTTGGCACTGGCATTTGCCAGTGTCATTTCGGACAGCCCTGCCCTGGGAAAGATGGCAGAAGTAACCTAATCCATGAAGGCCCATGTCCCAAACCAAACTGCCCTTCTGAAATAGCCTCAGCAGAAACAGCACCTTTTCACACTGACTTTGAAGCAACCAAGGAAATATTTTTAAAGGAATAGTGCATCCAGCATGACCCATGAGTGAGGCTGCACTTCAGAGCCAGTCAGTCAATGAAGACCTGCAAGATATCCACCTCGGGAAACCGTAAGTGCAACATGCTCACAGGTAAGAATGAAAAAGACTAACACAACCTATTCAATCCCCTCTGTCTTTAGGAAGAAGCACTAAAAATGAGCCCTCCCCTTTTCTTTTACTATAAACCAGCAAATTGATTGTTCCCAATATGTGTTTTTAAAGTAGTATTTCTCCGGGCACCTGGGTGGCTCAGTCCTTAAGCGTCTGCCATCGGCTCAGGTCATGATCCCAGGGTCCTGGGATCAAGCCCCACGTCGGGCTCCCTGCTCAGCGGGGAGCCTGCTTCTCCCTCTCCCACTCCCCCTGCTTGTGTTCCCTCTCTCGCTGTCTCTCTCTCTCTGTCAAATAAATAAATAAAATCTTTAAATAAATAAATAAATAAATAAAGTAGTAATTCTCACTCAGGACCTGGGATTCCAAGCAATGTGGCTGGTTCTGCTGCCTCAGAGCACAAAGCAAAAACCAAGTGCAAGACAAGCCATGGCATACAGGCTCTCACAAAAATGTACAAAATGAGTAGTTAATAGATAGTCCAGATGCAAACAGCTTCCCAAATTCCTTTATCTCCATCTTGGAGTCAAGCCACACCACCAAACTGGTATCGTAAAATGCCCTAGAGACGTGGGGAAAGGAGAACAGGAGACTAGTAATCCTAACTACTGAGGTGGCTGCTAGCATTTCAAGCCGAAAAAAGAACAAAACCAGTCCCCAAAATCATTTCCTGGCATCTATTTGGTGTAGTTGTAGTACAAAGGGAAAAAAATAAATAAAATGAAAATAAACTGAGCACTTTAAATTATTTGGAAACTTCATAGCAATCTCATTTCATGGCCTTCTCCCATTAAATATGTGCCCCAGTATAAAGTAATGCTACATAAGTAAGTAAGCCTTTAAGAAATAAAGCCAAGATTCAACGTTGGGCCTTTTGTATAGGCCCTTTTCCATTTCCTGTGTCAGATGCCTGCCTGCCTGCCTTCTAATAAGACAAACTTTTGGCAGGAACACAGAAGGCATCCAGACATTCGGATGAATTGGAAAGGAAAGTCTAAATGAACAAAACCGTGGCCTTTGGAAATGAGGCACTCTTTTAAAACCAGAGAGCCAAAATAGAAGCTAAATAATATAACGCTCTGTGATAAAGTTTACTTTTAAAAAAATGATACACACAGTTGTCAAGGATCATTTAAGGTAGTATTCCAAATTAGTGTCTGTCAGATCAAGTCGAAACAGTACTTTCTAAACAAACCATTAACAAACACATGCCCCGTGTGCAGTTCTTTAACAGATATAAGTTTCAAAGTACAATCAATACATGCATAATTACTTACTTGCTTCCTTCTGTAATGAGCAAATTGAGAGAGGCCTAGGACACTTGCAAGGGCGCCACCTCCAACAAGAAGAGTCCCTTTTACTGCCTTTTGAAATGCCATTTCTTAGCCTACAAAGGAACAAAAAGGGAACAGAAAGAAGTGAATTGGGATTTTTATCAGATAACAATCCCCACAGTAAAAAGGGACCATGCAAGATTCTGAAAAGATGTTAAGCTAGAAAACAAAACATAAAATAAGGAAGTTATCATGGGCCAAAAGCAACACACGATAAAACGGAGACAAGGGAATTGACCACATAAAAGTCACCTTCCAACAGGAATTAAAGAAAGGAAAGCAGGTTATGAGACAACTGAAGATATTTACACAGTATAAAGTCAAGAGTGCCAGGAAAAGAAATGGCATTGTGTGACTCACAAAACTACATGCTGTACTTGGAAATGTGTTCAACCGCTAATCCGCTCCACAAGGAGACCTGTGGAAGCCTGTCACCAGCGGGCAGTGAGCCTCACGTGTACTTCAGGTTCTCTGGCACGGGGTTAATTCAGATGGTGGCACAACTCCTTTCCTGGGCTTTCCCCTCCCAATGAAGCTCTCATTGGAGCCAACTTGTGCATTCCCATCCTTAAGGGGCCACACTTGACAGACTAAAAGTCAAAGGAAACCATGCCTTGATCCTTCCACAAAGTGACAGTAGATAATTCTTAGGGACTGCTATAATTCCTTTCATTAAGGGAACTTAAAAAAAAAGTTTTCTTCTAGCCAGGGTTGCACGGCACCACAATTTCAAGGGGACACTCTCCATATAAGCACTCTTTTTGTTTGTTTGTTTTAGAGAGAAGGGGGAGGGGCACCTGGGTGGCTCAGTCGTTAAGCGTCTGCCTTTGGCTCAGATCATGATCCCAGGGTCCTGGGATTGAGCCCCATGTGGGTTCCCTGCTCAGTGGGGAGTCTGCTTCTCCTTCTCCTTCTCCTTCTGCCTCTCCTCCCTGACCGACCCCCCCTACCTCCCTCTCCTGCTCGCTTGCATGCACTCGCTCTCTATCAAATAAATAAATAAAATCTTTAAAAAGGGGAGGGGGAGGAAGGGAGGGGCAGATGGAAAGGGAGAAAGAGACTCCCCAGCAGATTCCATGCCCAGCGAAGGGTACAACTGGAAATCACGACCTGAGGGGAAATCAAGGGTCAGATGCTTTAACTGACTGAGACACCCAGGTGCCCCTTGCTATATATTTCTAAATAAAGTCTTGTATTGTGTTAGCTCTTGACTTCCTTCTTACCTTGAAATATATATATATATACATATATATATACACACACACATTAAGTCTATATGTGTGAGTCTGTGCGTGTGCATTTCCACTATTGGACTCATTATATTTTTAAGATTTTTTGCAGGCTTCAAGATCCTTTAACTTTTTCAAAAACAACATACAAAAAAGTGCATAAAAATGAAAATTCCACCAAAAGAACTCTTGCCAGCTTTTTATTTAGCTAAACAAGAAAAGATAACACCGTGTGATCACCTAAAAAAAAAAAAAAGAGTTCTAACTTAGAGTTGATCTTGTTCAATATCAATTCGACCTGCCTAAGACTTTCGTGCACCATAGCAGCTGGTACACCCACATCTTACAGGGAAGCCACTACCCTATTTTCCTGAATGGGGGAGGTCCGATCTGTCTGGACAACATACCGTATACTCTACAAGCATCTCATGACTCAGGAAAACATTTAATATGAAGTCAGTTTTAACCTGGGATAATAAAGAGCATAGAGTATCTCAATGTAAATTATGGTACAGTTAAAATATTTGAGTCCATATAGGATGAATAGAATCTATTAGCATAACCACACTAAATCAAAGAATTTCAGTGCAGTTGGTTAACTGTGATTCTATAGAAAATTCATTCTGGAATACTATAAATTATATACTAAAATAAAAGTTGGTATTTCTGAAAATTTTATTTTTCCTCTGACCTCACTCCTTCTGACAAACTTAACACTCATCTTTTTTATTAAGATTCTCACCAGAAAAAATATTTCACACGCATATGTTTCTCTACTGCTAGAGGTCTCTTCATCAAATGGATCCTCTTTCCCAAGTTATGCAAAACAATTGGTATATATGATGGCTAGCGGCCTCCATTCATCATTCGGTCAACCCTAAGCAAGCCCTTACGTCCGAGGTTGACCTCAACTAAGCCAACTTGGAAGGCACTCATTTGTCATAGCCCACCATCACCGTTCCTAACGCTTTTATACACGTTCTCATGGGCGCCTATCACACAACAATGGAAACCCTAGCAGTGCAGAGATAGCATGCTATCTCCAGGCTAACGGGGTTCCCCTGACAATGAGGGACAGAGAATAGAGACCTAGTTCTATTTACCTAAACAATGCATGTGCCCGCCCCATATAGACAGCAGCCCGGTGGACCCTGGATGTGAGTTTTGTAACTGACTGACTTTAACTCAGTATCATTGCTTCTGAATTGTTGATAATGTCATTGATGACCTCACAAAGGATACCACATGTCAACAAAGCCAGCTGAGGGATGTTATGTAACACAGTCAAGGAAAATGTCTCAGCAGACGCGTTCACTCAGCCACTTCTGTTTGGAGCTAGTTGTTCCAATTGTGCAGGTCCAAGCAATCCCTGCTCATCTGATTATAGTGCTTCAATTTGATTTCTGAAACCAAAACTCACTAAGGGAGTTATTTTCATGGGTTTTCTCAATGAGCCACTAATACTAATGAAAAAGTGCATTAATATATTATTTTGCAGAGTTAGCGATCATATTGACTATAATTAATAAAGAACTTCTTTTTCCCAGTAATTTCATAAACTAACCTATGCTTAGGGGATCATTACTTCTATTGAGATCAACTCCATCTGTAAGATCACCTACTAGTTGTAATGAATAAATCACTCTTACGGGTAATTCAAAAACAAAAGCACAAAATCAATTTCACCTGACTCTCCTAAGATCATCATAATCATCATCGTCATCATCCTCATCAATGTTATAATGACAATAGTTGACATTTTTTGAGTATTTGCAAGGTAATAGGCACTGTGCTTTCAATTCTACATACATCAGCTCATATCACCCTCACAACACCGTAATTTCATAAAAGAGGCAGTTGTGGTTCAGAGGGCGTAAGGGATTTGCCCAAGGTCACTGACTAGTGTGTGACAAAACCACAATTTAGTCCAAACTCTTAACCACTGATTGGTTCTGCCCTGCTTTTTGTTCTCAAAATAGCAACTTCTCCCCAAGGGCCATACCACATTTTGCTGAAGGCCCTAGTCTCAAACACTCAACCCATGTGTACAGTCCTTGGCATTAGGGTTTCCCTAAGGAAACCTCTGACAAAATATCTACGGTAATGTAAGAACTTCGTTTTACTGCTGAATCAAAGAAATTTAAAATTTGTATCCATTTATATTCCATCATAAGGAGAAAAGTTTTCACAATGATTACAGAGAGGAATGATTATTTCCATCTAAGCAAAACTGCAACAGGGAAATTAGCAAAGAAAGGTAACAAAAATATCAATAAGTCTTTACTTTTTGCAACTACAAGTGTGAGAAACTAGAGGTAGAAAAATCATCCAGAAATAAAATTAGCTTAGTTTTTTTTTTTAAGATTTTATTTATTTATTTATTTGAGCAAGAGTGTGTGTGTGTGTGTGTGAGAGAGAGAGAGAGCAGGGAGGGGGCAGAGGGAGGAGAGAATCCCAAACAGACTCCCCGCTGAGCACAGAGCCCGAAAGGGGCTCAATCTCAGGCCCCTGAGATCATGACCTGAGCCAAAATCAAGAGTCAGATGCTTAACCAACTGAGCCACCCAGGCGCCCCAAAATTAGCTTAGTTATCATAGCCTGATGTCCATGTTTAATAGCCTATGAATTAAGTTGTATATACATTGACTCAAGACTGGCTCCTGCATTTGCACAGACAAGTGCCAGTCTTCTAATTCTTGCAAGGGGAACACCTGCGCAACTAAAAAAATCCTGAACAAAAAGGTACTCAACTAAATACATCCATGAGTTTATCAATTGCCCTGAAGGTACTTACAACCAATTCGGAGAATTAAATATCAAAGTCTACCTTGTAACTCTGTATTATAACTAGTTGTGCTATACACACTGAATAGCAATCTTGAGAAAAAAGAACAAAGCTAGAAGGATCACAATTCCCCATTTCAAACTATGTTTCAAAGGTATATTAATCAAAGTATGGTATTGGCACTAAAAACTTATTGGCACTAAAAACAGACGTATAGATCAATAGAGAGCCCAGAAATAAACACAAGCATATATAGTCAATTAATTTTTAATAAAGGAGCCAAGAATATACAATAGGGAAAGGATAGTCTTTTCAATAAATGGTGTTGGGAAAACTGGAGAGCCACATGCAAAGAAAGAAAAGAAAAAAGAAAAGAGAGAAAGAGAGAAAGAAAAAAAGGAAGGAAGGAAGGAAGAAAGAGAAAGAAAGAAAAAGGAAGGAAGGAGGGAGGGAAGAAAGAGGACCATTATCTTATACCATATTCCAAAATAAACTCAAAATGGATTAAAGATTTAACTATAAAACCTGAAACTATAACATTCCGGGAAGAAAACAGAGTGTAAGTTCCTTGACGTTGCTCTTAGTGATGATTTTTTGGATTTGGCACCAAAAGCGTAGGCAACAAAGGCAAAAATAAACAAGTGGGACTACATCAAACTAAAAAGCTTCTGCACAGCAAAGGAAACCATCAACAAGATGAAAAGGCAACCAACAGAATGGGAGAAAATATTGCAAATCATCTATCTGGTAAGGGTCAACCTCCAAAATACACAAAGAAGTCATGCAACTCGGTTGCAAAACAAACAAACTGAAAAAATGGGCAGAGGAAATGAATGGACATTTTCCTAAAGAAGACATACAAATGGCCACCAGGTACATGAAATGGTGTTCAACATCACCCATCACCAGGGAAATGCAAATGGAAACCACAATTAGATATTATCGCGCGAGTGCGGGCGCACACACACATACCGGCTGGGAGGGAGAGAGGGAGAGGAGAGAGAGAACAAGGGCTGGGGATGTGGAGAAAAGGAACCTGTG